ATTTTAAAAATTATTACTTTTTGGAAAGATGCAATTGAATCTAATATTTCTAGTTATTCTGAAGAACAGCTTGATGAATTAGAAGAAGTAAAAAAAATATTTGAGGAAGCAAATAAAAAACCCTTTAATCCTTCAACAATCATGGCAACTGTTCATCCAAATGCTGTTTATACAAGTAGATTATTGAATTTTACAAATCTTCCTCAACCTGTAAACTCCAATAAAGTTACAATTATTAGTAATAATAATGGTAATTATCTAATTTATTGTTATATATTTAATCTTAATTATTTATTATTAATGATATTTTAAATTATATATTCTAAATTATAAATTAATACTATAGAATCCAAACAAATTGAATTAACTATGTCAGATTCCAAACAAATTGAATTAACTATACCAGAAGATTTATGAATAAATTTCACTCATCTGATTATTGAAATTTTCACATTAGTTTTTTTATTATTATAAGTGTTATATCAAAAATATTTTTTAATGATTATATACTATCTATTTTAAATTAAAGCAAACCCTCCTTGTAATTTAACCTGATTAAAGTGACCTATCACCATGCCTCTTATCATCATTTAGTATTATTTATTTATTATTTTTATATTCAACATTTATATATACTGTTTTAACATTTTTATTATCTATAGACATTATAATAAATAATGAGATAAAAATCTGCATCTCACAATAAATCTCAATACTTTGTTTATAACAATATGCCAACAATGTTATAATACAATTTCTTCCAATTTGTTTATACTAAATCATAACAACAATTTCTGCAAATGTATGTTTATGCTTTACTCTCAAGACTATCTTTCATTATCATTAAACAATCAAAAATACCTGCGAATTGAAAGTTTTTTTTATTGAGACAAGATATGGAGATTCTTCTTTTGAAGATGCCAATTGATTATGAATTAAACAAATGATTTTTTCTATTACTGGATCAAACATTTTACAAAAATCTTCATATTTAATCCTCCTCAATTATATAATCAAATACAGAGAGAAATTTATTGTTAATTGTTTTTTCAAAAATCATATTTTACCTTGTTCCATTTCTTCTTTAATTTCATCATCATTTACAAATCTCATAAGAGCAGGACAAAATTTCATAATGTCCAAATCATTTATTTCTAAAATTTGAGCAATTACCATCGAATCCAAGTTTAACTCTTGGACAAAGAAATAGAGGATTAAATATTGATAATAATAAATTTTCAACGTGCATGTTTAACTACTTATTGGAAGAAGAAATTATTTGTAGTGATTATTGGATTTTCCATATTATATTGAACTTATTACCTAAGTACAAGACTTACAAGATAACCTACAACAAGGTAAGTCCCAACATCGCAATGTAACTCTTGTTGTGTTTCCGCAATATACTTTAAAAGTATATTACCGGCTCTACTTGCATCTCTGTCAATAATAGATTTGCAAGCAAAGTCCACGCACTTAAAACATGTAAGAAAAATGCTAGTCAATAACTTTATGGAATATATTTTTGTGATGCAATTGATTTTATATATTAAGAGAGTAGTAGTAAGCAAATGTATATTTTCAAAAAACCTTTATATGTAGGAAATAGAGATTTGTATGGTAAAAATTTTAACCATAGCCAACACTATCATTATTCCGACCAAAATTATCACATTAGATGTATAAACTAGTGTCACTAATAATAATTCTTTGTGAGAAATTCCTTGCTTTATCTCTCTGCATTACTAATTTGATAGATCTAGAAAAAAATATGCGCGGAAAGCATTTAAAAGAGCAGTATTTCAAGTTAATTGCTTTTTATTTGCGATTTTATATTCCTAATCAACAGTTTTTTGCCTCAAAATCCTATATTTTTTCAATTGAATTCTCTACCGATGGAAAAATTTTCTTAACTTTTATCCTAGTATCGACTATTACAGTTGCAACTGCCTTATGTAAACGCATGGAGTCAGGTGGTTGTACTGACAACAAGTTCAGGATTTTGTTCAAACGTTGGGAAGAGTGGAGGAGCTTGTGTCAATCGAGGTTAAAATGTGTCTAGAAAGATTCCAAAGTTTTGGACAGGGTAGAAATTTAGTACTGCAATTATGATTATTTTTCGGGATTGAATTCCAATGATCGCATATGTAGAAGCACGTTGGTATCTACCTTATGTGATTGCAAATAACATATTTTTTAACTTTGACTTAGGCAACAATGGCATTCGAAGACATGGTTTCACTTTTAGAGTTATATGTATAATAAACTGATTTTTCATCGTTGAATGGATTTATAATATTAGGTTATTGCTATTACTGCATAAATATCTGCTATAGGATGTGGATACAGTACTATATTTCTGATTCCTTGATTCTAATTTCTTGGTAAACACGGTATAAAAGTGTGGTAGTACAATTGTATGCATCTTTCTGGTTGCAGTGGCTATCCACCCATTAGTCATTAGAAGCCACACAACACTGCCACACTAAACAACATTATAAAGATCAGTAAAAATTTATTTTTACAAATAATTTTTTCTTCAAAATAATAAATTTTATAAACAATGCCAACGCAATCAACAACTACAACACAAGCAGCGAAACCAACAACAAAAGCAACACGGGCAGCGGAACCATTAACAAAAACAACGATAGTGACAAAACAAACACTTACACCCGAGGAAAAATATGAATTAATTACAAGAAACCTTCAAGAAGTTTTGGGTGAAGAAGAAATGTTAAAAATTCTTAAGGAAAGAGATTTAAAACTTTACTGGGGTACAGCACCGACTGGTAAACCGCATATTGGATATTTTGTACCAATGTCAAAAATTGCTGATTTTTTAACAGCTGGTGTTGAGGTTCGTTGTATTCTTTTTTTTTCCTTTTAATAAAAGGGGATTTAAAAAAAAAATTTTTTCGAATTTTAATTTTATTATATTATTTAATAATTGGGTAAGATAGGTTACGATTTTATTGGCTGACATTCATGCTTTTCTTGATAATATGAAAGCGCCATTAGAACTTGTAAAATTCCGAACAAAATATTATGAGGCGCTTATTAAAACTACTCTTGAATCAATTGGGGTGCCAATTGAAAAATTGAAATTTGTAGTCGGATCAGATTATCAATTGACACCCAAATACAGCATGGATAATTATAAACTTTGTGCGTTAGTTACGGAACATGATGCAAAAAAAGCGGGTGCGGAAGTGGTTAAACAAGTAGAGTCAGCTTGTTTATCAGGTTTACTTTATCCAGGATTGCAAGCATTAGATGAAGAATATTTAGAGGTTGATGCACAATTTGGAGGTGTTGATCAAAGAAAAATATTTGTTTTTGCTGAGAAACATTTACCGCATCTCGGATATAAGAAAAGAATACATTTAATGAATCCGATGGTTCCTGGCTTGGCAGGATCCAAAATGTCATCGTCAGATCCAGATTCCAAGATTGATTTACTTGATGATTTACGTACTATTACTCGTAAGATGAAGAAATCATTTTGTGAAGAAGGCAATATTACAGAGAATGGACCTTTGTCATTTGTAAAATCTGTTTTATTTCCATTGTATTCTCTCAACTTCCAAACACCACAATTTACAATCAAAAGACCAGAAAAATATGGCGGAGATGTTCACTATGCAGATTATCAATCGTTGGAGAATGATTTTCGTGATAAAAAAGTTCATCCCGGAGATTTAAAAGCATCAATTACACAAAATATTAATGCAATATTGGAACCTATTAGAAAGAAATGGGAGAGTGATCCTGAACTTAAAGAATTGGTTAAAAATGCATATCCAGAACCAGCCCCAAAAACTATTGTAAATAAAAAAAAAAAAAAAAGTAAAAAAAGTAAATAGTCAAAGTTCTACTTAATAAAGTCCTACTAATGTATTTTATTTATTTCAACTTGGATATTATCAAATAGAATTTTAAAAACTATTTAAAATATCTAATTTTTATATTTGTAAATATATCTATAATAAATTATTTATTATTACGGAGCAATCACTTAGACTTATTTAATTCAAAAATATCACTACATATGTTTAGGGACGTGTCATATATTAGCTGAGATCCTGAGATTGTGATCAAACAGAACTTTCTCTCAAAATAATCAATATATGTAATTTAAATTTAATAACTGATCCTGAACTGGAGTCCTTGTTTTGACCAAACATAAAACTCCTCTATCATTTTAATTCTAATTTTATTGAATCAATTTCACAAAGATTTTTTAATTCTTTCAATTCAATGGATGATGAGACACAATAAATATTCATGCTTTCTTTTTATGCTGACAATAGAATGGTTTTCCAGTGTACGAATTGAGTTATTATAAATAAAATAACGAAAAACGGAAAATAAATAAACGTAACTTCTTTGAATATTTCACTTAATTTCTGAATTACTTTTCCATTTTTGGATTACTTTGATAGCATCAAGTTTTTTAATGGTTATAAACCAGAAATAAAGTTTTTGATGGCAAAAAAAGGCTCCGAGAGTGGGTACGTAGTGAATTTCTATTACTATTTGATTTTTAGTATTAACGGATTGGATGCCTAATAAAAGCCACGATTTAACGTATTGAGGCTTGGAACGATATTAATATAATCGCTAAATCGAGACTCGGATCGTCAATTAATAGTTAAATTTAGAGTCGGCTAATTTTATTTATTATATATTAATATCCACTTACACAATTTCACGATGAATTTGATCAACTAATTTATTATAATTTAGTTGAATTCAATCGATTCCACTTATTTGTAATTTATTATTATTAGTGTACTAAAACAACCATAATTAACTTGTTTCTTTTTTGTTCTTTTTCTACGTTACATAACTACTAACTTTGTAATTCTTGGATTATTTCAGCTGAAAAGTATTTTCTTTTTCTCATATAATTAGGGAAAGTGCATAATTATCGCCCTTATGATAATCACGATCTCTCACGAGAGACGTGAAAATATTGCAACTTTACCAAAAGAGTTATAAGATGATAAAGGATGATAGGACTAAATACTTTTAGCAATTGATCAGAGAAGGTTTGAACTGTGGAAATTGTTAACCTTATTTCTGTCATTATGCATGGAACGTGGCATCCCCATTGTGCTTCAAGCTACCCTGAACAACAACGCACACATCTAGTAAAACGATTGTTAAAGAAGGATCCATCAATAAGAGAATATCTGCATCCCTGAAAATTCCAGATCGTCCTTAATCTACCTAAACTCGAATTTGTTATAGTAGTAGCTCAGGGTAGGCAATGTTCCGCATTTCCACAAGAACTCCTTTTCCTCTCTACGTCTTTCAATAGTGGAGAATTGAATTCATCCTCGTGTAATATTAGACATTACAATAAACATACTCTTTCCGGTGTTAATAATTCACATTTTAAATTTTTTTCTTTGATAGTTAAATAGTTTATTTGCGTTCCTTTATCAATTTGAACTTAACAATAAAATAAAAATAAAATATAATTAATGAGTAAATAGATTAATCATCCATTATCCTTTATTATTATTGTTATTATTATTATATCAAATGTTGCAACATACCCACATATTACATAAAAATTATAATCATGATGCAATTAGACCAAATTTCTATTTATACGTATTGTCACGTTATTATAAAACATTTGATCTTTAAAAAATGATAAACATAGCTTGCACATAGCTTGGTAATGTCCATTACCAGGATGGTTACAATGTGTAAAATATTCCCAGATATCACTATCTTTTGGACCAAGTTTGTTTTTGTTATCGGTAGCAAAAGAAAAAATGAAAAGGAAATGGCATAAAACTCGGAAATTGACATAACTAGAAAAGTGATCTTTTTATTTGAACATAAATATTTATAACGAATATTACAACATTGCGGTTAGTTGCAACACCATAATTTTACATTATGGTGTTGCAACTTTAATTATAAGTTATTATATATATTAGCAATTATGATTAATGAAATTTAATTCACCTTATTAAAATCAACATTTAAAGGAAGTGAGTTAAATCGAGGTTATTTAATGAACTATCATTACTTGTATAACCTTTTAAGCTTTTTGATTTGGCAATTTCATCATCTAATATTCTACTTGTGTGATATGCACCTGGATGTGATTTGTGTGCTTGTTGCAAATTACTACCATCATTGCTGTTGGTACCATCACGTTTTTTAATTTTAGAAAATTTGAACAGCCCTTTTATTATATTATTATGTTTGCTATTATTTTTCAAATTTTTATTTTTAAGAATTTCTTCTATTTTATTATCAGCAAAATTAAGAAGCTCTTCGATGGTTGGTCTTTTTGATGGATCCACATCCCAACATTTTTGCATCATTTGTGCATAATCGTTAGGCATTCCTGGCAATATTGGTGGTCGTAAGCCTTCACATATATCAAAAATTAAACAATGATTATGAGCTCTATTGTCAAATGGTGGATAGCCTGCAAATATTTCCCACATAAGCATCCCAACACTATAAATGTCTGTTCCTTTTGTGTTCTTTGCATTATTTTTGCCATTAAGTAGCTCAGGTGCAAGATATGATACAATTCCATAGATTTTATTTGATGATTTTTCATCAACTGGTCCACATAATCCCAAATCTGTAATATAACAATAACCTCCTTGCAATAATATGTTACCACTATGTAAATCACAATGAATTGAATTTTTTTCATGTATATCATTTAATGCATCACACAAAGAATTAAATATTGTAATTCTATCCTTTAGTGTTAAATTAGAATGATGTTTTTGTAAATAGTCCCTTAAATTTCCTTCTGAATAATAATTAAGAACCATTGCATAATTTCCATTATCAGGAAATTTAGTTATACCATAACAAAGAACAATTAATCTTGATTTAATCTTACAATAATTCATTGCCTGTAATTAAATATATAAAATCAATTAGTATTATATATAACACAGTATTATTTATTTTTGTTTTAAACAACAACTAAGCTTGTTAGCTAAAATTGGCTCTCTTAATAAATGATCATTGTTGGATCTGAAATGACAAAATAGTTGCCAAAATTATATTAAGATTATTTAATTCAATAGATGAAATGCTGGGTGTCCATTAATATTGTGTAAATCAAAAACAATTTTGGCTAACAAGCTTAATAACAACTACCAACCTCATCAAAAAAGGCTTTTCCTGGATCACTTGAATCATTTAAACTTTTTAATACTACTAGTTGCTTTCCAAAATAACTAAATTCCTTGTTATTTTCATTGTAATTAAATATTCTTCCTCTGATCCATGTAGCAGTATAAATTGAACTAAATCCACCTTCAGTTAACTTTGTTACTTTTTTAAATTGCTCAAAAGGTATCCATTCTAAAATAAAAGTTGGCAAAGATGAGAGAATTTGACATTGTTGAATAAAATTATCAATTATTTTATTCCCAGATGTCCAAGTAGGGAAAAGACTCTGTAATTGCAGACTAATGCAACTTTCACAGAATCTATCAGAGTATTTTATGGATTTACAATTGTTACATTCTTTTTGTCTGCCCAATTTATCCTTTGCATTAAATAATTCAGAATTATAAATCAACCTTTCTTTACAAAATTCTTTTTCATCTTCAGAAAGCTCCTTGTTATTTTTGACTAATGAAAACAAATAATCTTTTCTATTTTCTATATCAGAATTAACTATTGCATTATTAAACATCTCATTCCAAATTTTAAACACAACTTCCCTCCTTTCCGGCAATAATAATTTACCATGAGACATTGTTTAAATTATAAAATGTAAAAAGATATTAATTTGACTTGGTTAATCTATTGAATTTTATTGAATAGTGAAGAAAACAATTTTTTTCTTTGTGGAGAGTTGATTGAATGGCGTGCAATAATAAATATTTATAATGTACATTTATTAATTTTATTGTATTCACTTTTTTAAATTATTATTAAAAGTTACGCAATCACGTATGTTGGTGGCTTAGCTTTTTAGAAACTAACCGCATTATTATTTTTTTTTTAAACGTTTTATGATGATCATGCCATTCTTGGAATAGGTTAATCATACATTGAAAACTAACCGCATTATTTACAACGTGAAAATTTGCGTAATAATTACTAATATCACGTGTTCGTGATTATCAAAGATTTGATAAAATGTTTAATTTAATATTTTCGCCTAAAAAATCATTATTTATATATAATGGTATTAAGCGAACATTTCAGCAAACAAAATGTTTAAAAGAAGAAACAAAAAAGACTGTACGTGTCCGTTTTGCACCTAGTCCAACAGGATATCTTCATCTTGGGAGTTTAAGAACAGCACTGTTTAATTATTTATTTGCAAAAAAAAATGATGGTCAATTCATTTTGAGAATTGAAGATACTGATAAAGTAGGCATTGATCGAATTCTATAGATGAGAATAAAAAAAAAATGTTTAAATTTAACAAAATTTTGTACATTATTATTTAGACACGTTCTTTTCCAAAAGCTACAGAAAGTTTAATATCTGTATTGTCTTGGACAGGTTTAAATTATGATGAGGGTAAATTTTAAATGTTTTTAAAGTGAGGTTTTTTTTTTGGATCTAATGGTTTCCTTGATTTATAAAGGACCTGGAAAAAATTCCATCTTTGGGCCATTTATTCAAGTATATATCAATCATCATTGTTTATAAAAATAATAAAATGATAATAAAATAATCATAATCATATCATAACCTTTAATGTATAGTCTGAACGTACTGAAATTTATAGGGATTATGCAAATAAATTATTAAAAGTAGGTAATAATATAATTCATTTATTTTTAAATTTTTGAGTAACATATAATGAATAAGTAAACATGTTATTGCTAGGATGACAAAGCTTATAGATGTTTTTGTACATCCGAAAGACTTCACAGTCTTAGTGAAGCTTCACAAAAAGCCGGTAGAGGTGTCGCATATGATCGTCATTGCTTATATTTAAGTCAGGAAGAAATTGATCAAAAACTGGACAACAATATTCCTTTTACAATTAGATTAAAGGTTATTATTATTATCATTATAAAAATTTGGCTTTTTCTTTTCTGGGATGGATGTTTTTTCTTTAGTCATTTATTCATTCGTTTTTTTCAAATTATTTAATAAGTAAAAAAATACTTGAAATTAGATACCGGAAGGCATTACAATTGTAAAAGATTTAGTTTATGGAAAAATTGAATTTGACGATAAACATATTGATGATGTTATCTTGATGAAGGGTGATGGATATCCTACTTATCATTTTGCAAATGTTGTTGATGACCATTTGATGAAAATTACTCATGTTTTAAGAGGAGAGGTATTAATATATATGAAATAATAGCAGCAGCAATGTTATTATTATTATTATAAATGTAAATTTTATTAAATTTAAATTTTAAATTTTTTAGGAATGGTTACCTTCAACTCCAAAACATATAATACTTTATCAGGCATTTGGATGGGAAATGCCATATTTTGTACATTTACCACTATTGCTCAATGTTAATAAATCTAAACTATCAAAAAGATCAAAGGATGCAAAGGTTGAAGATTATGTGGTAAATAAATAAATACCAAACAAATGATCAATTTCAATTTCAAATTTAATTAATATTTTTCCAATTACTAATTTTATTTTTTATTTCTTAATTTTATATATGTGTGTAATTATAAAAGCAACAAGGTTACTTACCTGAAGCATTAATAAATTTTGTAGCATTTTTGGGTTGGAATCCATCATGTGATAATAAAGAAGTATATACATTGAAAGAATTAATATCAAGTGTTAGTAATTCCTCTAATCCATAAATAAATATGCAATAGTAATAATAAAATAATACTAACAACAATAATCTTCAAATGCTAAATTAATCACCTCCTAATTTCTAATTAATAAGTTTTCAATAGATAATATAGGACGTTCAGGAGCCATAGTAACCAGAGAGAAACTTGATTGGTTTAATAAACAACATTTACTTATCAAAACAGAATCTAGTGATGGATTGAATGAACTTGTTTCAATGTTAAAAAAATTAGTAGATGAGAAATTTGGAAAAGAGTAAGAATAAGAAATAATAATGTGGCAATTGGTAATAAGAAAATTAATAATGATACAAATGTATGTAAATACAAAATATATTGTAGATTAAAAGCTAGTAATGAAAAATATAAACTTGAGGACGAGTATCTTTCTAATGTGATTAACACTATCAAGGTAATTAATTAAATTAAAATTAATTGGCATATCAATTAATGAATTATATTATTGTATTAATACACTTCATGTTTATAGGATAGAATACATAACATAAAAGAAATATCAAGTTTGTGTGATTATTTTTTTATCATACCAGATTATTCTTCTTCGGAATCTATAAATATTAGAGCAAAGTTACCAGAAGAGAACTTGAGTAAATTTTTAAATTTGGTGATTTTCCTAAATTGAAAATGATTGTTATTTATACTAAAATCAAATTTATTTAGAATCAGTGATAAAAATTGCATTGGATGAATTCACATACCTTAAAGAGACTGATTTTCAGATAGAAAATATTAAATCTATAATTAAAAAAATTAGTCAAACTACTGAAATCAAATATATTCAAGTAATGATGACTTTGAGATATATTGTTACAGGAACTTTGGTATTTTTATTTATTTATTATTTTATTATTATATTATTATCATCATAATAATATATTGTATATAAAATAGGTAGGCGCTGGTGTTGTGGAAACAATTAAAACATTAGGAAAAAATAAAACTTTACAACATATAAATGCTTTGACTCAGGTTTTGGATTCATAATATTTTGGTCTTTTTTAAAAAAAAAAAAATATTAGATTTTATAGTAGTGTAGCTTTTTGGATGAAATAATAATTTTAAAAAGTTTTTCAAAAATAATATGATTCTACTGCATAAATATATAAATAATGAATTTCTTATTTATTGTTCCTATTATTTCTTTTTTCAAGTGCACTGCTAAAATTATCCAAATATTCTTGAATAATTTCAATTTTTCTGGCCACTTCTCTTTTTTTATCACTTGAGATTTCATCAACTTGTGAAGGTGATTCAATAAATTTACCATCATCCAATGGAATCACAAATGGTTTATTTTTCTTATTCAATGGAGTAACTTGTCTACTTGGATTTTCTTGTTCATTTTGTAATTCTTTTCCAAAGGAATTAACATCAACATTAGTGTTATTATAATTATTAATGTTACTGTTGCTATTATATTTGTTTAACAATGTTAAAGCTGATGTTGGTGCCAGTATTGGTATTGGTGTTATTGATGACGATGATCCACTTAACCTTGGCATGTACAATATTTCTTGTCATTGATCAACATTATTTCATGATGATAACATAATAATAATAATAATAATAACATATATATACATACCTTAAATGTGCTTGTTGATATGAAGAATATTTAATCAAACTGTTATTATTATTGCTTTTATTATTATTATCATCATCTTTATTACTATCATGATAAATTCCTAAATTATTATAATTTCTCATATAATCATGCAAGGATAATTCTCTGATTTCTTTTGGCAATTCATTTATTTCAATTTCAATACTAGATCGAAGGTTTATCATCAATTCTTTTGAAATTTTTTGCAGATTTTGAAACTTTTCATCAACTAATAATAGTAAATAAAAAATAATTTATTATTAAAAATTATTTATAGAGTAATAATAATCATATAGACAAACAAACATTCATTATCCAGATTCTCCAATATTGATTGTTTATCTTTTTCCGTTATTTTAATATTTTTAATATTTTCTAATATATTTTCATCTAAAGTAAATTCGTCCATAAATTCTGTTGTTAGGCCTTCCATCTTTAGTATATTTGTTTTGTTGAAGTTGTCGTTTATCGTTACTAACTAAATATAGAAATTAATTGCAGTTAATCTATATATTTGGTTAGCACCGATAAACTGAAATTTAATTACCGAGTTAAAGGCATTTTTTACGCGTTTTTTTTAATTTTGGTAAAAATTGGTTATGCATATTCCAAATTTAACAACAATAATGAAGATCACAACTCATTAAACAATTTTTTTAAGTTAATATTAATTTTTATTGTCCGAAGGGAAATATTTAAAAAAAAAAAAAAAAGCAAATCACATGTCAACTTCAATATTTTTAATTATTAGTATTAGGGAATTCCTTTTTGATTTTAAATATATATATATGTCATAAATATTGTATGTACATGCACGGTCAATTATGGATTCATTCAGAATGTGTGTAGTCGAGTAATATTTGGTTAGATGCATTGAAGTAATCAGATGAATTGTGTTATTGGCTTGTCATGACAAATAGAAATCATCATTGTTTCCATTTTATTATATTATTATATATTGCTATTTTTATATTTTTATTTATTATGTAAGATAAAAAAATGGTTGATTGCGATAATACCTTTTATAGTAGATGCTTTTATTGTTTTTTATTTACTATTACCATTACTATTATTTGTTTTTTATTTACTATTACCATTACTATTATTATTTATTTGTTTTGAAAAATAAATATAAGCGGCAACGTAACTTTCCAGGGTATTCGTTAAAGAATAATACAAGAAGAGAAATATCAATTGATTAAAATAAAATGTTCGATTTACAGAAGAGAGAATATAAAAAAAAGGGGTGAATTTGATCGTTTTTGATTAATTCAATCAATCAATCCATCATCCATCCATCATTACCACAGAAAGTTGTTGGGATTGGCGAATAGCCAACTTCAGCCAAGCCAAAAAAGCTAGAGTCTAAATGGTTTCACCCCCTGACAATATATAACATATGAATAAAAGAGGCAAATATTACATCCTTTAATAAGAACTTTATATTTGATAGGGCGAAGGATCTTTAATATTTAAAAAGTTTAAAATATCAATTTAAATATAAATCGATTTTTTTTTTCAATTTCAAATTTCTTTTGACTCCAAAAAAATAATTCCAATTTAAGGATTTCATTTTCAATTATTCCAATTTTATTTTATTTATTAAATAATAAATACATAAAAAAATAGTCGAGATTGAGAAAAAATTTGAAAGAAGCCTATTAAGTAAATAAATAAATAAAAATATATATCACATATATATATTTTTTTATATAAATGGCTGATTTTGTAAATAAAGTTCTTGTTGCATTGAAGGGTAATGGTATGTATGTGTGTATAACAGTGTATATTGTTCTTGTTACAGTTAATTCTTCTTTATATAATATTTGCGTTTGTTTGAATAGATTTGGAAAAAAAAATTTATTCTATAAAAAAATTAGAGGATGAATTATTAGACGAAATACCTTTAGAGGTCAGTAGAAATTCTAATAGTTTTTCTTTTCTTTATTAAATATTATTAAAAGAAATCATTAATTTATTTATGTATATTATTAAATGATTCTTTTAATAATAATATTTGTAAAAATATTTATAATTAATTTCAGATCAAAAAAATATCTTTAAAAATATTATAATGTTATTTATATTTATCATTAAATCATAATAATCTTAACCTCATTGATCTCATTTAATTTAATTAGCCACTCAAAATAAATCAACTTGTATCTGCATTAAAAAATGGTCTTAAAAGTTCACAACATTCTGTTTCTTATGCATCGCTTACATGTATCAGTCCTTTAATATCTTCTATAGCTGTAACAAATACATCATATCTCAAATATGTTATAACTGCACTTGCTCCTGCAGTAATCGGTAAACTTGGTGATACAAAGAAAAAAATGCAAGAAGCCTCCCTTCAAGTTTTACTGGCAATGTGGAGATTTTCCAATGGTGCTGTTCATAACTTACATACATTAAATGCTTTGGAAACTTGTATAAAAGAGTCTGCTTTTTGCCATAAACAATGGAGAGTTCGTGAGCAGGTAGAAAGAGATTATCGATTAATTAATTAATTTGATCAATTATTTGCATATGATTATTAATTTTAAAATATTTCATAAATAGATTTTACAATGGATGGTTGCATGTAAAAGTAGAATACCTAATTTTTCTATTATAGCATGGACGACTAATATAGTAAAATTATTGGATGATTCTAATGAACGAGTCAGAGAAGCTGCAAAAAATAAAATTGTCATACTTTTCAGGTTTGTTTTTATATAAATAGTAATAATAGTAATGTATGTGTAAGCATATATTTACTAAATTTATATTCATTGTTCGCCCCATTATCATATGATTATCACCCATAATAATTATTATAGTGACATGCCTTCAAATGCTAAAATCGATCTAAAACGGGAACTTGAGAAACATTCTATTCGTGCAGGAATTATTGAATTTATTTATTCAAAAGTTATAATTGAACCGTTCGACGACTTATCAAATTCTAGTAGCCCTTATGAAAATTCAACAAACAATACTACTCCAGACTTAGAAAACAATTTTATCGATATTAATAATAATAATAATTGTGATAAAAATAACAATTACAATAACAATTACAATAATAATAATCATATTAAGATTAAGAATAATTACAATAATAATAATAATAATAATAATAGTAATAATAATAATAATATGGTGACTACGGCGAAAAATAAATCAAGATTTAGCCTTAATCTTAACCTTAATAGAAGAGAATCTGTTCTATTTTCCAAAAAATCTAAAATTGTTGATAAACCACAAGTATGAATTACAGCATTGATTATTATTATTATTTTTTAAAAAAAGGAATTTTACATACTAACTAAATTATAGATCGATAATGTTGATGATTTTGAACAAGAATTACAAAAGATTATCCCCATTTTTCAAGGAAAAGAAACAGAGCTAAACTGGTCTTCTAGAGAAAAATATCTTAATCATTTAAAATCTTTGATTAATGCTGATCAAGATTTAAAATATCCAGAAGTTTTTGCTAGTTTCTTGAAAATTATAATGGATGGTGTAATATCATCAGTAAGCATCAAAAAATATTTATTTATCAGTATTTTCTTTACGTATAAATTAAATATATATTTTTTCTTTTGTTTATTTTTATTAGCTCACAAGTCTTCGTACTGCTTTAAATTTAACTACCTGTGAATTTATACAAGATACATCAGTTTATCTCGGGTCAGCAATTAATCCTTTTGCTGAAACGTTACTAACAAAACTTTTAAAAATGGTCTCATCAACAAAAAAATTAGTATCTCAAGCTTCAGCAAACGCAACCATTTCACTTTTAAAAAATTCTTCATATAATTGTAGGCTTGTCACGCAATTATTATCTACAATGAAAGAAAAAAATGTTCAATTAAGAATTTATAATATTAGTTTTTTAAAAACAGTTATTGAAGCACATTCACACAGAAAAGATTATATTGAAAGAACTGGTGGCGCAGAAGTATTTGAAAAATCTATTAAAATTGGTTTGGTTGATGCAAGCCCAAAAGTAAGGGAAGGCTGTCGTGAAGTTTTTTGGCTTTTTAATGAATTTTGGTCTCATAGAGGCGATAAGTAAGCTTTTTATTACTTTAATTTCCTTTATTTTTTTTTATTTTTTTTAAAAATATATTAATCATACATAGCTTTGATTTTTTAAAATTACTCGTTCACACTATATTTTTTTAATATAAAAAAGGATTATGAAAAATCTTGAACCACAAGTATTAAAACAACTGGGGTGTGACAAATTAAAAGAAGATAATAATAGTTCAGCATCAGCATCAACAGCAATCCCTTCTCAAAAAATGCCACCACCATCACCATCACAACAATCTTCTTATCGTTCAAATACCCCTTCATCATCACACCGATCCAGTATCGCATCAATTTATCGTCCAACTACACCATCAACGAATCGTCCAACTACAACATACAGACCAACAACACCATCTTCGAATCGTCCAACTACAACTTACAGACCAACAACACCATCTTCGAATCGTCCAACTACAACTTACAGACCAACAACACCATCTTCGAATCGTCTAACTTATCGTTCGACTACACCATCTCCAAACCGTCCAACTACACCGTCAACTTATCGTTCGACTACACCATCTCCAAACCGTCAAACTACAACATATCGTGCCATCACACCATCTCCCAAAAGGCCTATCATGGCGGCAGCAGCATCCTCATCAACAACAAATATTCCAACAATGACATACAGACCTTCAACGCCGTCTTCACATCGTCCGACACAAATATCAAGACCAGTCACACCTTCTTCAAGATCACAAGCCGATTCGATTGGTTCAGTAAATGGCGGTAGTAGTAATGTTGGAGGGTATCCGAGAAAGTCTAGTATTCCTAGATCAGAAAGTAGTATGAGCAATTATTCTAGTGTAATGTCAGAACAATCAAATACCACCAACAATACAAATTATTATAACAGTAATAATAACGAGGCTATTAAACTTAATAACGATTTATCGTCACCGCAACTACCATCTATAATGCCTCGTTCAATAATGCCAGGATCAAATCTTTTAAGGAGAAAATCATTAGCAAATCTAACACCACCATTAAATTGCTCACCTACTAATCCCTACAATGATAATAATAATCGATCGTCACCACCAAGCTCGCCGTTAAAATATTCAACCAGTTTTAATAATCTTAAACGCGTCGCATCATTTTCAAATCTTAATCCAAGATCATCACCGTCATATTATGCAACGGGCGATAATACCAATAATTACAATTATAATAATAAAGATGAAGGATACGAGACCAGTGAAGATAGTATTAATAACAACCATAGGATTATAAATAATAATGTTATTAGGAGTAATGATGATAGAAGAGAATATACAAGGTTTGTAGAACAAAATGATGGAAACATGCCGTTAAATAGAAGAGACAGCTATCAAAGTAATATAGATGATAATAGTTATAATAGTAACAATGGCTACAATAATAGTATTAGCGTTAATGCTTACTACCAAGAAAATAATTTAAATAAAAACAATTTTCATTCATCGAAGGAACATTTAAGGAGGCAATTTTCATCAAGAGAATTGATGAACAACAACAACAATAATAGTTATAGTATTAATGGTAATAGTAATAACAATTTATATAGGACAGCAAACTATGGAGAAAATCCTAATTATCCTAACAATATTTATAGTGATAATAGGATTAATGAAGAAGACATTAATAATAATATTAATAATAATAATAATAATAGTAATAATAGTAATAATAATAATAGACATTATAGTCAAGAAAACCTAATTAATAATCAAAGAGACAATTATAATAGACAATTATTACCATCACAAATGGAAAATCCAACAAATTTAGATCGAAGATTATTATTATTAAAAGAATATGATAGTAATAGTAATAATAACAATATAAAATATCATGAAGGTGACAATAATAGTAATAATAATAATAGTAATAATTCAAATATTGAGAAATCATATGCCCCAAGAGAAAATTATAATGATCAAAGAGATAGACAATTGTTACAGAGAAAATTTGCAGAGAAAGGTATGTTACATGATAGGGAGACGTATCATTCTAGAGATAATAACAGCAAAAATAATGATGATATATTATTCTATAAAGAAAATAATAACAATTACGATAATAGTAATAATAATAGTAGTAGTGATTATTATAATAATAATAATAATTTGAATCCACCAAAAGAAAATATTATTAAAGATGATGATTTAAAAATGCCATTATCACCATTACCAAAAGATCAACCAAAAAAAATTTTTTTGGAAGAAGTGAAAGAAGAGCCAGAGGAACAAATAGTGAGAATACAAGAGGCAAAAGAAGAAAAAGAAGAATTGGTTAAATATTCTTATCAAAAGCAGAATAAGAGTGATTTGTCTTTGATTGAAAGTAATAAAGAAATATGGAGAAGATCTTTTGAAAATAAATTGGGAAGAATTAATGATGAAGTTGAAGATGAAGATGATGAAAAATTGATTAACTATAAAGAAAAAAATGTTGGTTCATTGGAACAAGAACAAGAAGTCATTACTGTTAATAATAACAATATTATTATTAATAGTAGTAGCAGTGGTAGTGATAATGATAATATCAAGTTAAAATTGGGGAATGAGCATATGATCATGTATGATGATAATAATAAGATCCATAACAAAATTAATTCTTCTCAATCTGATATAATGCAAGAAATACAACCAGTAAACATAATTACATCACAGCCATCAAACAATCCAGTTGATAATGATTTGAATCAATCATTAACAAATAATGATGATGATAATAATAATAACAAGATTAATACTAAATCTGAAAGAAAAGGTCAATAATTATAAATTTGATTTTTTTTTCCTATAAATATAAAAATATTTAAATTTATTTTTTCAAAAAAATCATTAGGACGTACGATTGATTTAGTTTCCATCCAAAAAAAAAAATTATTACTTGTCACATCACTAGCTCGATTGTGTAATTATGATGCTGATGATGTACTTTTCTATCAATTGACTAAATTATCCAATGAAACTAGCGAGTTAAGTAATGAAATTATAGAAGAAATATGGGAATATGGCGAAAGATTTAGAGAAATAATGAGTGCGTTGATAACGTATTTAAGCCATTGTAAATCAGTAAGCATTTCAAATAATATTACCATTGATATTAGTTATATTTTATTTAGCAATTTTTATTGAAAATAATAAATGTTTTTAAAGAACAATTTAGAGTCAAACGAAATGGCTTTGAAATTGCTTGGTCAATTAATTGTCAATCAATCCAATTATGTAAACGGAGAAAAGGATGTTTTAAAAGGTTTATTATACTTTAGAGCTGATTCATTCATTCGTGTAAGTAATAATTAACTGATTAATTCATAAATTTTTTTAACAAATAAATCATATTAATGAAATGTTTTAATATATTCTATTTAGCTTTGTATTCAGGCTTCACTAATTTTAGATACTTATATTCAAATAGTTGATAGTAATATGACATTATATCTATTGATTGATATTATGGAAACAGATCTTTTCAATAATAGTGACCCTTTTGCAATACCAGACTCTGATAGTAATAATGTTAGTAAGAATGTGTGCTCGTCGTCAAGATATAGTGTCAAAGGATCAGCTTTTGTGGTATTAACAAAATTGGTTGAAAAAATAGACAAGAATATTTTGAAAAAACAAATCGGCAGAATTATTCCATTAGCAGTAAAGGTAAAATTTGAAATTTAAATTTTCATATGCACTTATTCATTAGTTCATTGATTAATTGATTTTAATTCTTTAGGGATTTAATGATTCAAGATCTGAAATTCGTAAATCTGCTGTGGAATCACTTGTAGCAATTTATTCAATTCTTGGAAATGATAATTCGATGTTTCAATATCTTGGGGTTTTAAATAGATTACAACGAAATCTTCTTGCATATTATTTTAGTAAAAGCTTGAAAAAACAACGAAAGCTATTAGCAAAATTAAGTGTATAATTAATTACATCTATTATTATTATTATTATTATTATTATTTCAACATTATTTCATGATGATAACATAATAATAATAATAATAATAACATATATATACATACCTTAAATGTGCTTGTTGATATGAAGAATATTTAATCAAACTGTTATTATTATTGCTTTTATTATTATTATCATCATCTTTATTACTATCATGATAAATTCCTAAATTATTATAATTTCTCATATAATCATGCAAGGATAATTCTCTGATTTCTTTTGGCAATTCATTTATTTCAATTTCAATACTAGATCGAAGGTTTATCATCAATTCTTTTGAAATTTTTTGCAGATTTTGAAACTTTTCATCAACTAATAATAGTAAATAAAAAATAATTTATTATTAAAAATTATTTATAGAGTAATAATAATCATATAGACAAACAAACATTCATTATCCAGATTCTCCAATATTGATTGTTTATCTTTTTCCGTTATTTTAATATTTTTAATATTTTCTAATATATTTTCATCTAAAGTAAATTCGTCCATAAATTCTGTTGCACTGATTTGGTTGAGTATTCTTTTTTTTAAAAAAAAAAAGGTCATTGGTTACACTATAATTTGCAAACATAGGCCATGAAAAAAGGTTACCGGTTACACTATAATTCGCGATATTATTTATTTTTAGTGTTTGTACATTACACTTATGATAGATCTTGTTAAAAATGAAAACTTTCTTACAATCTTCATCAAAATTATTCACTTCATTTTGCTAATTTTCATGAATTTATTAGTGCTAAACAAGTTATTTTCTTTAGTTTATATGTAATATAATGACTTATTAATAAAAATTTTTAGTAACCTTGGCTTTGCAAATATTTCTGATATTCATCATTATGCAAGAATAGATTTTTATTAGTATTTTCTAATAATATCTAGTGTTTGGGAAAAGTTATTGCATTTTATGAAAAACGTGGACAAAGACATGCATGGGTTGAAAAGCCTACAGGACTTTTAGATAATTTATCATATACCGTAAAGTCTGGAAAGATAGCATTCCCTTTTTACATATGTGTAACATTTTTTTTATATTGACGCTCAATTGTTTTAAAGTAGGGGGTGCTATCTTTCCAGA